TGGCCGGGAGGTGGAGAGAAGTGGTCAGGTTTGGGGCTTCCTACTGTTTCTCTGTGGAGCCTGGGGCCTGGCCATGCCCTTGGGAGCCTTCTCAGGTCCCTCCTTCAAAACCTTGGCATCCCATTTTATACATTTTGTTACGATCGTTTGTCTCCCTTTTGGGGGCTCAGATGCCTTTGGTAATCTGATGAAAATTATGGGCTTTCTTCCCAGAATACCCTTGTGCACTCAACTGAATACATGTTCCTAGAACCCCCTGCACATCCCCGCTGTTAGGGGCCCCTGGCTAGTGCGTGTTCCCCGGACGCGGTGCACAGTAGGACCACACAGTGCGGGTCCCTGACTGGCCGTCGGGTGCAGCTGATAGGCGAGCACACACAGTGGGTCCAAGCTTTTGTCAAACCCTCATTGCATATGTAACAGCCACGCAGTGAGCACTTATAAATGTTTGCTGAAAAACAGCGATGATAAACTTGGCACTTTGCAAGGTCCTCACACCTCCGCGAGGCGCCTTGGATGCAAATGCCTCCATTTTAGAGCCGGACGAATAAAGCCTCGGCAAAGCGAAGTGCACGGCACGGGGTGGGGGGGAGTCAGCATCTGGTGTCTGACCAGGGCTGCAGTGAGGGTGAGCCATGGTGGCGCTCGGTCAGCCTTAGCGGCGATCGTCCTAGAGCTGCATGCTGGGAGGCTGCGACTGTGCCCCAGACTTGATCGTCCGGCTGTGGAATCAATAAGAAGGATCCTGAAACACTCCTGCTTGTCTCCTAGTTGATCCTCAGAGCAGCCCTGGGAGGTAGATAGTATTATCCCCCTTTTACAGACGCGGCAACTGAGGCTCCCCAAAGGTAGGTAGCAGAGTTCAGGGCTCACCCCCCAAAGTCTCCAAATCCCCAGATAATTAGTGAGCAACATACATAGTTAAATGCTAACAACTTAGCACTTAATTATGTACTGTTTCTCACTGTATTGTATGTAATTTAACGCTAATTGCAGGGTTTCAGAACGAGCTGCAGGGAGCGGGGGCGAGGGTGGCAAGGGAAGGCTTCGGGGAGACTTTGGGAACTCAGCTGGGCTCTGGAGAGGACAGGGGTGGATTTCTGCATAAGGGAGTAGAATGAAAAAGGTCGCAGGGTAGGAATGAACATGGATGGGGAGTAGCCTGAGATAGTGCTCCTTAGATAATGGAGCTCCACGAATGTAAACGTAACTAATAGTCACAGAGAAAGTTCTCTTGTTTGTTTGTTTTTTCAAAGTTTATTTATTTTGAGAGACAGAGTGCGAGTGGGGGAGGGGCAGAGAGAGGGGAGAGAATTCGAGACAGGCTCTGCAGGGAGTGGGGGGGCTTGATCCCACGAACTGTGAGATCATGACCTGAGCCGAAATCAGGAGTTGGCTGCTCAACCGACTGAGCCACCCAGGTGTCCCAGTGTTTATTTTTGAGAGAGAGAGAGAGAGAGAGAGCGCGTGCGCGCAAGCCAGGGAGGGGCAGAGAGAGAGAGGGGGAAGGAGGATCCGAAATCAGCTCTGTTGCGACGACAGCAGAGAGCCCAATGTGGGGCTCGGACTCATGAACCGCGACCTCACGTCCTGAGCCAAAGTCGGCTGCTTAACGGACTGAGCCACCCAGGAGCCCCTCCCTGAGAACATTCTAAATGCTGGAACTGGACTAAGCCCTTTCCACTGCTCCTGTTTGCCACCCATGTTTAACCCTACGCAAGAAACAAAAAGGCAACCACACAGGTATTGTTATTACTTCCATTTTAACAGGGGAGTAAACTGATGGCAATGCGGGGACCCCGCGCGGGGCCTGGTCTCCAAGCTCCTGTTCTTCCCGGCTCAAGTTCAGAGACCTTCCGATTAGAGGTGGTCTGGGCTTGGGCCTTGCTTCTCCACGTGGGCCCCAGAGCATTGCCTGGGGGCTGGTTAGAAATGCAGCCTTGGGCCCTCCCCAGTCCTACCGAGTCAGAACCCGCGAGTCAGAGTTTCTCCGCAGTCCCCGGGTGATTGATAGGCAGATCAGTTAGCATTTGAGAAGCATGGGGCTGGTGAGAAGTTTGGCTGGACACGTTCAAGTCTTTGTGAGGACCTCTCTCTCCTGGCAGAGGCAAATAAATGCATTCCCGGAGGGTTTGAGGTGAAGGCCCCGGGCAGCCCATCCCACGCTGAGATCTCTTTGTCATCTCGCATTTCATCTTAAAATGTCATTGACTGTTCATTCCACACCATAGTACATCAGTGGTCATTTTGATATTTCAAAATGGTTATGTAAATTGCCACGGAGTAGGATGCGTGTTCCGGGAAGATGCATGAGATGGGTTTCTTTGTATCGTAAATGGGGTAATAATAACCACTTCCAGGCCTCCTTCAAAGATCAAAGGAGAATCATGTGTATGGAAACGCTCGTGAACTGTCTGCCTCAGACCTGTGTTATTCTGGAAGGGAGGGAGAAATCCTCCCCAGACCCGTTGTCCTGCAACCCGCTCTCTGAGGGCTGAGGGTGTACGAGTGTTTCTCCCTTTCAGGACAAGGCAGGGCTGGGTCCCAGAGAGGACAAAGGACCCTGTCTGGGCATCTCAGGAAGCCAGGGAAATAAGAGAATGGGGTCAGCTATTGCTAGTTTGTTTATTTAAATTCCTTATTAGCCCCCACTTCCTGATTGGCCAGATGAGCAAGCAGGAAAACCCGGGTAAAACTCAAGAGGTTTCAGGGACATCAGAACAGGAAAGAAGATGGGAGATGAGGAGGACTTCATCCTGTCCCCGGGTGGACCTCGAGAGAGGGGGGTGTGGTGGGGGTGACAGAGAAGAGGTCCGACTTCAGCTCAGGTCACGATCTCACCGTTCGTGAGTTTGAGCCCCGTGTCGGGCTCTCTGCTGTCAGTGCAGAGCCGGCTTCTGATTATTTGTCCCCCCCTCTCTCTAACTGCCCCTCCCCTGCTTGTGCTCACACTCTGTCTCTCGCTCGCTCTCTCTGTGTGTCTCAAAAATAAATAAACTTTTTTTTTTTTTTAAAGAAAGGAAAAAGGACAAGAAAGGGGGATCGGACTGTCAGCCCTGGACCAGGAGTGACCTTGGGTTCCCTGAAAATGTCCTCTTTCCTCTGGAAAGAGAAAATGGAGGAGGGAGACACAGAAGGGTGACACGGACAGAGACAGTGACCATCCCCAACTGGGGCCAAGGGGGAAGGAAGTCAGACAAGGCATCGGAGGGGAGGGAGGCTCATTTACAGCTGCAGAAGCTGAAGGAGGAGAATCTGGGGACGATGGGAGGGGGATGGTCAGCAGTCCCCCCTGGCCCAGAGCAGCTAGGAAGGATGAATGTGGGAAGAGCTATTATATTTGGTTAAGGAGGTTATGGGTCAGCTGTGGATAGGGTTGTGGGAGAATAATGGTGTTGAAGCCAGCTTTTGAGAAGAAGAGAATGATGGGGATTTTCTCTTCTCCCCATGGTCCTAGTTAGGATTTTCACACAAATTGCATTTCTATTACAAATGTCTTACTTGCCATTTAAAACTTAATCCATGTAACTTGTGACTAGAACCAAGCTGATACTACCTCTCTAATCCATCCCTTGGCAAAAAAAGTTATTTAAGAAACGTAGAAAATGGCAAAGCGTTGTTTACAGGATGATCCTATTTTTGTTTGAAAGAATGTCTGTAGGGGCGCCTGGGTGGCTCAGTCGGTTGGGCATCCGACTTTGGCCCAGGTCAGGATCTCGTGGTCTGTGAGTTCGAGCCCCACGTCGGGCTCTGTGCTGACAGCTCGGAGCCTGGAGCCTGCTTCGGATTCTGTGTTTCCCTCTCTCTCTCTGCACCTCCCCAGCTCACGCTCACTCTGTCTCTGTCAAAAATAAATAAACTTAAAAAAAATTAAAAAAAAAAGAACGTCTGTGTTTGCATGTGTATTTTATAAATATGTATATATACGTATATTCTAAAGAAAAACATCTAAGGGTATATGTATCAAATTATAATGGGGGTTTTACTGGCATATACATATGTCACTTTAAATATGTGTAGTTTATTTTACCTGAATTATCCTTCCATAAAGCTGTAAAAAATTGTAATAGAGGTTATCTCTAATGGTCAGATTGTGGTATATATGACATAATTCTTTTGGCTGCACATGACAGAAACTCAGCAGAAACTTCTCAAGCAATAGCTGAATTGTCCAGATACTTGTTCATACATGAGTGGACCCAGGGTCTCAGGTTATGACATTAGGGATCTCCTTTCCATCTCTCACGCCTGCTGTCTCCCCCATTGACCTCGTTCTCAGACAGTTCCAGGCCTGAGAACTGTGTCTCAGCAGCCTGGCACCCCCGTGGAAAGAAAACAGCTTTTCCCCGAAGAGTATCCGCAACGTCCCAGAGCTGACTTTCGAGCACCCGACATGGGCCCTGGCTCAGCCGCAGACCAAAGGAACTTCCAAGGGCATCTCTCCGGAAGCCAGTGAACTGAAAAAAGGGGCCGAAGGGTTCTCTGAAGGAAACCCAGAGTTCTGTTGCCTGAAAAGGGGGCATAAAACCACAAGTGTCTGCTCCTCAAGGAGCCTTCACTGTCTGGGTCCTATGTTTTTGTAGCGACTGGGTTTTTTTTTTTTTTTTAATAAGCGTGCGTTTCTCTTGCCGTGGCAAGAGAAAAATGAGATCCCTCCTGAAACAACGGATCTGGGGTACATCTGATTATGATCATTCAGATAAATAAATAATGAGTGTGGAGAAAACGGTAAAGCTCAAACCTAGTCCGATTTTAGAGGGCATGGGAGGGAAGGACAGTGTTGAGGCTGGGGACTCAGCCTCCTGCTTTCTGTAGACTGTTAGCTGTGGACGTGGAAGGCCCACCGGGCCATCAGGCGGTCTCTGGGGCTCTGGGTCGCCAGAGCGACGCGCCCAGAGAGCTGGGCCCTCGTCAAGCTCGCCTCTGCCTCTCGGCCTCTCCTGCCTCAGTAAATAATTCCCTGCATTCCGATATCACACTGCTCTGTTTCTTCCTTTCAGGGTTATACTAAGGACATGGTACCAGACTTTGATGAGAAACATGATGAGTATTTAATATTGCTTCAGCAGAGGAACCGGTAAGATAAAGCTGCTCAACGGCAGCCCCATAAAAACCCTATTTAGATTGCTTAACAGCACTTGGGCTCTGTTGCACGTAGGAATGGTATACAGTCACCCTCCACTCAGGGGCTTGGGATTTTAGCTGTAGTCCCAGCCCCCGGTTCTCCATCCGCCGATGTAATTGCATCTTTGAGCTGTAGCCAACCGCTCTCCCCGTAACTACCACCTCTCGCCTCCCCGCTCCTGTTCTGGAGGGAGGTGGCTTTGTCTCGAGAAGCCGGAACCCGGCAGGGCCTGGGCCTCAGTCACCTGAAGAGCCCAGTCTGTGATCCTACAGGCTTTGCCGGCCCCTTGAAACCTGAGCCTGTAATCCTGCCTCGTGAGATAAAGGTGGAGTCACCTTCCGTCTGTGTTTGAAGTTGGTCGATATGTCGTTGAAAGTTAAGTTCGTACTGATTTTGACTCTGGAGGGCTAGCTCCTGAAAAAAAAACCCACAGCGGTGGAGGCAGTGTTTAGTGACTGAGGGCAGAGCGGTCTGGTCCGGTTGGAAAGAGGTGTCCCGTCTTCAGCGCCCTCGCAGGGCCTGTGCAAGTTCATCAGGCCCCGGGCCTCGCGTTAGGCCGGATTCGCAAATTCAGATGCTAGGAGGGCGGGATGGCACTGAGCAAAACCAGCTCGGTGGAGGCCGTGGGCACCTGGAATTCTCACTCCCATGCTGCTCCGCTCAGGCCACCTGATGTGTGTGGGCACACGGGTCCAGGGGTCCGTATCCCCCGAGGTTGATGGAGAAGCTGGAAGTCTGGCTCTGTGTTGTGAAATCTCCTGAGTTTTAAAATGTTGGTAATGCACTCAGATTAAAACACAAAACAGGGGCGTCTGGGTAGCACAGTCGGTTGAGCGTTTCTGGCTCTTGTTTCTGGCTCAGCTTGGGATCCCAGGCTCATGGGATCAAGCCCCGTGTCGGGCTCTGCGCTGAGCGTGAAGCCTGGTTAAGATTTTCTCTTTCCCCTGCCCCTGCTCTGTTTGTACTCTCTCTCTCTCTCTTTCTCAAAAACAAAACAAAAAAAAAACCCCACAAAACAACTACAAGAATGCTACGGGCCCCTAAAACAGATCAGGCGTGAGTGAGGAGGTGGGGGCCCTGATCTGGGCGTTTGTGTTCTGGGAATGAACTTGGGGTCTTGCAGGCAGGAGAGCCTGGGGGTTGTCACCCTGCATGTGCATCCCGCCCTCATCTGGCTGGTGGGGCTCCCGGTGCTCATCAGGCAGGGCCCTGGTGGCATATTATATGCACAGGTTTAGTCCTTCATGTTCTATAGCTCAGCGTTCCTGCCCGCCGGCCCCTTTACTAACTTCTACCGAGTATCTCTAACAGTATCTAACAGATACTTCCCCAGTATCTCTAACAGCACCCACCCAAGTCGCCAGCTGCCCCCCAGTGAGGCAGTACGACCCTTAGTGGCAAACCCTTGAACGGATCAAGGCCCGAGGCACAGCCAGAAATGCCAGGCAGCGTCCCCTGTGCCCGGCTGCTCTCTGCTCGTCTGCCCAGCCCAGGGGCGACCGCAAACTACAATAGTGGGAGGCTTGTGCTCGTTAGCCCAACGTGGGTTTTTATCATCATTAATGCCATGGAGCAGGATGTTTGTATTCCATTGCTGGCAGACTGGATGGTGCCACTGAACATTTCGGTGATCGTTGGGTCACACACGCGTGACTCGCCCTGGGGGACAGGGTCGTGGTTTCTCAGGAGCACGTTGCTTCTCATTAACCGGCAGATTGCGATCAAAGAGGTACGAGCCGACAGCATGGAGGAGAGTATCCAGAGACAAGGTCGCGGCACAAAGGCAATGAAGAAACGTGTCCACGTGGAGTTGCCGTAAAACTGGGGGAACGTGTGGTCACCGACAGGGAGCTGGCTTGACGACAGGGACTCAGAAAGTAGAGCTGGAAACACGTCCAAAGGGAGGCACGAGGAGGGGGCGTCCCCCTGAGCTATCACCGGGCGTTGCTCTCGAGGCGCCTTTTCTGGGCTGCCACCTGCAGGCCAGGAACCTCGCCCCCATCATTGCATTTTATCCTCACTCTCCCCGATGAGGTGTGGGTGCAGCCATCGCACCCATTTTACAGAAAAGAAAGCCTGAGGCAACACCCCCCGGAAGTGGTGGGGCCGGGCTGTACTTTCAGATTCGCGTTCTGTCAGACGTGGTCATAAGTACTCAGCAGGAGAGAAACCTGCCGGGGTTGCCAGTTTCACCGCGAGGGGTTTTGCAGAAATAAACTGCAGTTTACTTGGGAGTCCGGTTCTATGACCCGATGGAGAACCAGTGTCTGGGCTTTATCCTGTGCATAGAGGGAGATGCAAACCCAGCCTGCTTATGCGGTTGCCTGTGACCTGAGAAAGGGCTGTGCGATCACTGGAGCAAGTCCCTAGGAGAGGCCGGCCCAGAACACAGCCGGTAGGATTTCGCCGAGTACCTTCTCGGTGCCTAGCACTGCCACCAGCGTGAAGGAGAACCCTGTGCTGAGGAGGGCACATGCTTTATAGTTAATGCTCCTGAGGTCCGAGGGACAGAAACCCAAGGTAAATGGACCTTAAACAATAAGGAAACTTACTGGCTCATGAAATTCATGAAATTAAAGAAGCCCAGGATAATACTTTGGCTTCAGGCACAGCTGTATCCAGGCACTCAGCTCATGTTGGAGGCATCTCAGGTCTGTACTTTCTTTACCAAGGCAGCCACTGGAGGCCCCACGCTGACATCCTGCCTCGAGAAGGAGAGAGCACTTCCTTCCTGATCATTCCGGCCGAAGTGCAGCCGAGGGCTCCAGCCCCAGCCCCGAGCCAGGCGTCCCCTGTGCCTATGAGATGCCATGGTCTCACTGGCCACTCCTCGGCTACCTCCTTAAGCTGGGTGGTGGAGTGAGTGAGCATCACCCACACCACACGGAGTAAGAGAAGGAACGGGGCAGTTGCCAGAGGGGATCTGAGGGGCTGGGTTTGGAAGGTGGGGGAGCGTAGCTGGCGAGGAAAAACGAACAGGTGTTCACCCCACAGCGCTTGCCCTTGAGGAACTCCCTGGTGGGTGGCAGGGGAGCACAACGCCACCTATTTATAACTGCACCAGAGGAAGCAGAAAATGGCCATGTGCTCCAAGAGGACCGAGGGAGGGGTAGGGAAGATGTGGCTGCCCTGGGTCACCCCTGCACAACCCGTCCCGGAGGACACTTAGTGATTCTGGTCACTCAGCTTCATGAAAGATGTCATCATGCCTGACAGACTCACAACAGAGCAAGGGCTGGAGTGCTGGGGAGGGGCGCCTGGGGGGCTCAGTCGGTTAAGTGTCTGCCTTCGTTCGGCCCAGGTCAGCATCTCGCTGTTTGCGAGTTCGAGCCCCACGTCGGGGCTCTGTGCTGACATCTTAGAGCCTGGAGCCTGCTTCGGGTTCTGTTCTGTGTCTCCCTTTCTCTCTGCACCTCCCCTGCTCACGCTCTGTCTCTCACTGTCTGTCTCTCAAAAATGAATAAACATTAAAAAAAAAAAATTAAAAAAGAGAGAGAAGGAAGGGGAGAGCTGGCATCTGACGGGGCTTGGCATGGACCAGTCCCTGAGCTGGAGCCTCAGCCGGATACCCCACTCCATCCTCATGACATTCCTAAGAGGTGGAGGCATTCTGGGGCTCATTTTGCAGAAGGGGAACAGGCCCCGGGGGTGGCGGGACTTGCCCAAGGTCACATAAGCCGAGGAACCGGCAGAGCCTCCCCCGGGCGGAGCACTGTCCCCCACAGTCTGCCACTTCCCCCCACGCGGAGGGGGGATGCTGACAGCCTAAAGGGCGAACACCCGAGCCTGCGAGCACCCAGGCTCTGGGAGGAACAGCAGGCGGTCTGCACCACTGCCCTTCGCCTCTCCATGCTTCAAGGCTCGACTCAAACGCCACCACCTCCAGGAAGCCCCCAGGTGGGAGCCCCCGCTCTGCTAGCTCAGAGCCCCCGTGGTATGCTAGCCTGGCGAGGAGACAAGAAACAGTGGCTGGGAGATGCACTCGGGACCAGAATTTAAATCCTGGCTGCTTCCTGGGCTCTGTGACCTTGGGCAAATTCATCTATAAAACAGGCCAATGGTAGGACCTTAATCCCAGGACCGGTGAAGGATTAGGCACCCAGGTGTCATTTGAATGTTAAACACACCTTCTCCCTGAGCTGACCTCCGGGTAATCCTTGAGTGCCCCCTAGGGTGACTGAGATCCAAGGGCCGCTGTGGCCAGCCTGGTCACACAGCGGCCACAGCTCTCTGAGACCAAGGTGGTTCAGCCATTAACCCCGGCACAGTCACACCCAGGTGACTGCCCCTGGAGCCTGGCTGAACCCTCTCGCCAGCTGGCCCCCTGCGTGTGCCCTGACCACCCCCTCATGTCCCCCGCCACACTCCCTCATGACACCCGGTGCTAGCTCAGGGTGCCCTGCCTCCTCAGGGTGGCCCCACAGGTCGCTACTGGCTAAGACAGAAAGGGTTCCTGTGATGGGCACTGGGTCCACGGCGGCTGTTAGGATACACACACATCCATGTTTTCTCTCCCCTGCTAGACCTTGGGCGCCTTGAAGCCGCCGGTTCCAGAAATAAGTATGGAGAGAATTCCACTCCGCATGGACCCCGTGCCCGGGGGTCAGAGTCTGGCGGTCAGAAGGGAGAATAAACAGACACACAGACAGAATCCTGTAGGGTGAGGCAGTGAGCCACAGGAGAATAGAGCGTGATGGGGCACAGGTGGCAGGGGCTCCGTCTTCGACAGGGCAGGAGCTGAATCTGATTATCCTCAGTCGTCTACACCGAGGGCAGCTTTTTATGCAAAGCAGGCTATCAATTAAAAAAAAAAAAAAAACCAAACCACTTTTCTTTGGTGCCGCCTGAGTATCGCCGAAGGCTCAGCTGCAGTAGGGAGTTCCTTTAGCGATCCCTTTCACACTCTCGATAATTATCTCCCCATTTATCAGTTTCGTAAATCCACATTTTCATAAATCGTCCCGCTTAAATACAGAAGCGCACACACGAGTGCCAGTCCCAGATCCTGGGTGACGGATGCCACCATAGCCACCAGGATAGCATCAGGAGACAGGGCGGTCTCCGGAGGGAGGTCGAGGCCGGCAGTCTGTGGCCCGGTGCTCAGACTTTCCACTCTCTGGGCCTCCCGGGGCTCAGGCTCCCCGCGCTCTCTCCCTGGGGGCTGCCGGGCGCCCGCTGAAACCTCCGACTGTTTGCTCCAGAGACTCCCAACTATTGCTGTGTTTGGAAAGCGTCTCTTAGTTACTTGTGTTTTCCTTCTGTTTTATGCTGTTGCCCGCCCGACAATCATCTCCCAGGCTTCCAAGCCTGGCAGGAGATAAGAAGTCGGTAATAAATGTTCCTGCCGCGATTGTTGAAAAGATGGATGTGTCAACAGCTAGAGAAACATTTAAAAAGCAAACGAAGAAATCGCCCATAATGCCACCACCCTACCTCAACAGCTAATTGCATTCTCACATTTATCACCTCCCACTCTGGGTCCACAGACACACTTCTTTCCAACTTTGCACTTGACCACACACATACCGTTTTGATTCTGCCTTTTTCGCCCTCCACCGATCAGAAGCAATTCCTCGTGTTTGGACACACTCTACGCAATGATGTCAGCTGCGTGAGATCTCAGGTTCTGCTTCCCCGGTTTTGGACATTTGGGTTTTGTTATGACCAAGCACCGACCATTGTTCCTGGTCAAGAATGATTTGGGGCGCGTGGGTGGCTCCGTCATTTAAGCGTCCGACTTCAGCTCAGGTCACGATCTCACAGTTTGTGGGTTTGAGCCCCACCTTGGGCTCTGTCCCTCTATCTCTCTCTGCCCCTACCCTGCTCACGCACATATGCGCACTCTCTCTCTCAAAAAAAAAAAAAAAAAAAAAAAAGAATGTCTTGCCGAAATGGGCTTACTGGGGAAAGACCAAGCATATGGCATTTTCTCTATTTTCATATTACTTTCTGAGAAGGTTCTGTGAGTTACCAGCAATGTCTAAGTTTGCCCGTTTCGGCATCTGGCTAGCTTCAGAGGTTGTCTTTGCTGTGGTAGAGACTTGAGTCCGATTGCTTACGTTTTCATCCTAGCCCTGCCACCGTACCAGCTGTGTGGCCTTGGGCAAATGACTCAACTTCTCTGTGCCTCCCTTCTCTTATTTGTTACCTGGGGACAATAAAAGTAATTACCCCATAGGGTTGTTGGGGGAAGATTAATGCCTTAATACAGTCAATGCTTATTATTCACGTGTTCCCTGAATACAAATTCACCCACTCCCTGAAATTTATTCGTAACCCCAAAGTCAGTATTTACAGAGCTTTTGTGGTCATTGAAAGGCACGTGCAGAGGGGTAAAACATTTTCATTGTGCGACACACACATTCCCAACTTTGGTAGAACGCGGGACCGCTCTACCTTCTTGTTCCAACCCTTTCCCCCCAAAACAAAGCGTCTTTTTCGCAGTATACTCAGTGCCCTGTTTTCCACATTTTCATGCTTTTTGTTGGTGATTTTGCTGTTTTACACTGGCCCCTGGGCCTGTTGCTAAAGTGCCGTGTCGTGTGCCCAAGCGCGAGAAGGCTATGATGTCTCTTAAGGAGAAAATAACACGTGTTGGACGAGCTTCCGTCAGGCCTGAGTTAGAACACTGCTGTCGGCTGTGAGTTCGATGTCAGCGCATCAACTATGCGTTAAATAAGGTGCCTTTAAAGCGAAACTCACGTACAGCAAGGTTATGTACTGATTGGTCGATGACAATGCTGCGACGGAGGCTCACGGGAACCAAATCCCGTGTTTTGCCCTAGGGACAAAGTTTCTTTAGTCACTAACTCAGTGTTTGCGGTGACTTTACGGAGCAAAACTACCGCCAATGATGACCATCAGATCCCGTATCCGCACTGCATTTAGAACAGAGTTTGGCACCTAGTACGCACCCTCCAGGTGATTGCTATTTCTATATTTTAAAAACATTTACATTTCGCTACTTTGATAGGAACTTATTTAATCACAAAGGGGATGCACGCTTGTTGTGTGGTTTGATCGCGTCGCTTCCCGTGCGGAAATAAATCCGGTTGACGCGGGAGGGTGCAGAGGCGTTTGTGGAGGCCCTGGGGTTTGGAGCCGGGAGCGGCTCCAGGGGCAGGGGACGGGGATGGGGGGGTGGCGCTGACGAGGTTCCCGCATGCTCTTTATGGCACTACAGTATAGTTGGGAAAGACCCAAGTCTTTCAAGAAAACTTGAACTAGAGGCCAGCCATGTTCACGCCGAGACCCTTTCAGCCAGAGGGTGTGATAATCCTATCACTAATCTTTTTTTTTTTAATTTTTTTTTCAACGTTTATTTATTTTTGGGACAGAGAGAGACAGAGCATGAACGGGGGAGGGGCAGAGAGAGAGGGAGACACAGAATCGGAAACAGGCTCCAGGCTCCGAGCCATCAGCCCAGAGCCCGACGCGGGGCTCGAACTCACGGACCGCGCGATCGTGACCTGGCTGAAGTCGGACGCTTAACCGACTGCTCCACCCAGGCGCCCCCCTATCACTAATCTTGAATTAAAGCCTACATTGATATGTTCTTTCACTGCATCGGAATATAAGATGATGACACTGGGGATACCAGGGGTGAGCGTCTGAGAACGCATTTGTTTCCCGAAGCAAAAGGAGTCAGTCTGCCTGGTCTGACGCGGGATGTTTCCTGCTTCGTAGATATTCTAGGAAATCTCTCGCAAAGGCTGACGACCTGAGACCCAGCATGTTTTGTTGCGCGCTGGAGAAGGTGCCACCATCCACACAACGTGGAGATGCGTGAGGTTGGGGTCTCCCAGGAAACCCAGGCTGTGTGGAGGCAATGCGCACACACGCCTGCTTTCTGTCTCAGCCACCGCGGGGCAAGGGCGACGTGTGCCTTCGTCGCCGCTAACCTGCGCTTGAGCCTCAGAACGAAAGCAGAAACACCCCTGCCGGGCCCGAAACAGTCTCCCCCTTGCTGCTTCTCCGTGTGCGTAATGGGCCTCTTCCAGGCTGTTTGTCGATGAACAGCTGGGCACCCGCCACCCGGCCTCCCGATTCGAGATGCTTTGCCCATCAGAGTGGTAGTTCTCTCCCCCCCGCGTCGGGGGTGGGCGGCCCAGGCGCCTAGAACGAGGAACGAATGATCGTTTCTCTTCCAGGATACTAAAGCACTTGAGATCCAAGGACCCCATGCAGCTGAGACTGGAGCATTTGGAACAAGGCTTCTCCGTCTACGTCAACGGGGCCAACTCTGAGCTGAAGACCTCACCCCGGAAAGCTGTCCACTCCGACTTCACCAGAAGCGCCTCACACGCCGAGGGGACGCACGGTGAGCACTGGCCCGTCCGGCCCCTGCAACGCGCTAGCTCGTTCGGCACCGCGGACCCACATCCGATGCACGTGAACATCCTAGCAAATAACTGGTTAACCTACATACACACTAACTATGCCCTCTTGGCCAGAAAGAGAGCAGGAGAGTGAGAAAGAGAGAGAAACGCTTTTTTATTCCTTTTAAAGGGTCATCTTGGCCTCCATTACCCCAGGGCGAAGGTGGCCAGGGCAGTAAATTCCTGGCTTTTATGTTTCATAGTGCCAGTAATTGAAGGAAATGTCTAGGATAATTGAAGTGATACCCGATTTTCACTGGATCTGTCTTCACCTCAGTACCTAACCCCTGTGTGATATTTGATTCCCACTGTTCATTTCTGAATTTAGTTAATCCATGCTCATGTACTTTCAACAGATTTCATGTGTCCTGTCCTGAAAGCTGAGGGGGCAACACGAGCACCCCACCGAGGGGCTGGCCCAAAACAGGCACCAATAAAAATGACCTGGCGGTAAAATGAATGAAATGGCAGAGCACACGGGGTCGGGTCCCAATTCGGCCACGTGCCTTTGTTTCCTCATCTTTCAAATGGGACTAACAGGGGTGCCCATCCCCGGGGCGCCAGCGTGCCCTCCACGTCGGGCGGCTTTATCTGAGAAGCCGGTGTGCTACTGAGTTACAGGAAGAGCATTTGGAATGAGGCAGGGCTGGCTTTGAAACCTCTGGCAGTTGGGTCCTCTCTGACCCTCAGTTTCCTCTTCTATAAAATGGGAACAATCACGTCCACCTTGCGGGCTTGCCAGGAAGACTAGCTGACATAAGAAATGTAAAATGTCCATCAGACAATAATCTTGATCTGTGTTGTTCTAATTCATTGCCTTACAGCTACGGTAGATTTCCCAAGCCATTAATAGACGGCAAAAGCCAAAACAACAGTGAAATAGACAGTGAAAGTCAAAACGAGGAGATAAAAGGCGAAAGTCATGTCCCCAAACCTTCCCCTAGGAGAGCCACTGCAGTTCAGCTTAGAGTTTAGAATGAGCTTCCTGGCCCCCAGGGCAACAAGGGGAATGGAATAATTCTTCTAGGTTTCACGGTTTCACGGACGAGGATTCTGGCCAGCCTGCTGCTAGTTGGCAGGTGCAGGCCTCTCCTGGTCCGGGTTTCAGGGAGGTGCAGGTAACGTTGTCTTTCTACTTGGGCCACAGCAGTAGTATCTTTACTCATTCAACAAATATATCTCCCCTCTCCTCTTTTACACAAACGCTGGCCGATTGTGCCCACTGTGTGTGCCCTGCTTCCGTATGTTGGAGATTTTTCCTTTTGTATATAGACCTGCCTGATTCAGCTGTGACTTACTACCCTTGCCCTTTTCGCTGAGCATTTGGCTTGTTTCCTAACGCCCTGCGGCTACCAATGGGACTACAGTGGCCCGCTCCACAGACGGGACTTTGGGCACCTGATGTGCGTTTTAGATGTAAGTCATGAATCTGCCTTGGGTGTGAGCTTGTCACGGGCGCCTCACCAAATCTCCTTCCCTCATGTCTGGTGCAGATTATGGGCGAAGAACCCTGTTTCGAGAAGTGGAAGAAGCTTTAAGACGCAACTCGCGGACAGCCCCTTCCAAAGTTCAGCGCCGAGGATGGCACCAGGTCAGGAAACCCTGGGGGAGAATCAAGACACATGGCCCCAGCTCTTGTTTTAGAAGAAGGAGCAGGGTTATTGTGACAGAACCTTTCAGAATCCCCGCGGGCAGCGGTGGGGCTGGCCGGGCACCCTGCAGGTGGCCTCTTTGCATGCAGTCCTGGCCCCTGGGGAGTGGAGGAGACTGGGGACCTCCCAGCCCTCTCTCTGTGGCGTGATCCTCCCTTCCGGATGGGGTCACCCCAGCCCTACGCAGGAGGATGACGTGCACACTCTCAGCCCCCTTCGTGATGACTCGTTCATACAGCTGTCTTTTATTGAGCACCTACTATGTGCCGGGCATAGTCTTTGATGCCAGGGATGCAGTGGGTAACAAGGCAAAGCCCCTGCCCCACAGACCTGAGATGCCACTCAGGGCTGCTTGTTGATGGTGCTGACGCCAGCAGCTGGCGTTCTTGAGTGCCAACCAGGTACGAGCCGTGCTCCCGCGTGACTCCTCTCCTTTGTCCTCGCGGCGGACCTGCAGGGTAAAGTTCCAATGTTCTTCCTCTTCTAAGGGAGCCAGAGACTTGAATGGTCAGAAAAGCTAAGTGAGCTTTCTTCTAAGGTCAACCAGAATCAAGACTCCAGCCCAGACCTTTGCTCCAAGCGTGGTGTTCTTGCCCACGTGGTCCTTATCTGGCTGCTTGCCTGAGATCAGTGCTTCTCAACCCCCACTGCACGTTCACACCACCTGGGGAGCCCCCCCCCCCCCCCCCCCCCCCCCCCCCCAGGGATTCTGACTCACCTGGTCTGAGGTGTGGCTTAAGCAATGGTATGTAATCCTTTTCAATCCTGTGTACTGCCCTTAGAACCTTCTGCACAGGGCTGTATGTGTGGGTCTATAGTAAATACTTCCATAAGCTTTGCTGGCCCATCTGTGCGATAACCCTGTAGGTCTGTAACTATCCTCATCATGCCATTGGTGAAACTGAGGCCCAGAGAAGTGAGGTGACCTTTCCAGGGTCACACAGCCGCTAAGGGAGGAGGGTAGGCTGACGTTTGAACCCTGGACCCGTGACCCCCAAACCCACTGGTCTCCCCTGCCTTTGTGGGTCTGTGATTAAATGTGGCTGGGTGTTCCTGCCGGGGCTTGCTGAGCAAGGCCTCCAGGGCACGCAGCCTGGAGGCCTTCTTTTGTCCCCAGCAATGAATGTTAATTTCTCATTAAGGAGGCCTGTCTCCACTTCCCACTTCAGACCCTCCTTCTGGTTGTTCTGAGTGCCTTCTATTATCAGGAGCCATATTTGCATCTTAGACTGTGACTGAATGGCCGGCCCCAGAGCCTGTGCAATTTAAAAGACTTGGCCTAAGATTAATTAGCATCCCTCCCCAGCCTCTCCCTGTGGTCCCACACTTCACAGGGCCCAATCATGGCTAATTTCCTAGCTCCCCGATGCCGTGAAGGCTGTAATTGTCCTTCTGTACCGTATCAGTCAGGGGTCAGTCACTGCCTAACAGTAGAGACCATTCAGGCCGTTTTAATCAGAGATGGATGGAACACAGGGAGTCCGGTGCTCACAAGGTCTCTGTGTGCAAGAGGAAGGGGTCCGAGTGGGGCCTTCTCACACAGCCTGTCAGGAGAACTGCTCCCTAGGGCCCAGTGGGGAAGGTGGGGGATCCTCATCAGGGCTGGGTCACCTGAGCTGTCATCCGGGAACCAGGTGGCTCCCACCACGACCGATGGCCTCGAATGATGCCGCGCCTGCTAGAGCAACGATGCCCGTAGCCTGTCCGGCCAGGCTGGGACACTTGCAAAACCCCTCACCTCGGCACTGTGGTTAGCACAGAATCAGCCGGCCTGTGTCCCCTTGTTTCCACCTCATTGCCGCGTCCCCTGCCTTGTATGAAGTCATCGGATCGGCTGCACCCAGCTCGCATCCAGAACCCCACGGAAAGGGTATCTGGGAAACACGGGCTGACTTTCCGGACTCTCCTGAACGTAAAGCCACCCTAGGAGGGAAGTGGAATGGGTCCTGGGGGTCAGCCCACCCCCACCACTACCGTGCCTTGGGGACCACTCCTCCAAGATGGACAAACCAGAGAACGTGCAGAAGTGGTGAGAGGGGTAGAAGCCATGTCTCGAGACAAATCATCCTTTCATTTAAAAAGATGTATTACCACGGGCCGGGCACTGTGTGGGGCTCCGGGGTTCGAAACAAAAAAAAAATCAGATAAGCCTCTGGTCCTGCCCCAGGAGTCCCCCCCTCGGCTATAAAGGCCTGGGGACCGCCCAGCCTGCAAGACAGACGTGGTGACTGTTCCAGGCATATGGCCTGCTGGACTTGGGAGCGCGCAGCTTGAGGCCTGTGGGCTGAACTTGTCCCCCGGAGGGTGTTTTTTGGACTCACACAGTTTAAAAAAGACTTCGTCACTTGCTAACATTTAAATTCAGAAAGTTCTTCTATATTTTTAAAAAGCTAGATTCCTACTTCCCTGGGAAAATGGAAAGATCTGGCCCTCACGCCGGCCTCCCCTCTCCGCGAGGCAGCCTTTAGCAGAGAAGAGTAGCGATGGACCCCTACCCCCCCCCCCCCCCCCCCACCGTAAGGCTGGGCAAAGTGCTTCTGTTTGCCGCAGTCCTCACCACTCCCCTTAGCGCCCCAGAGCTGAGGCCCAGTGGCAGGTGTGGTGGCCTTGTGCTGCGGCCACTGCTGCTCTCACACGGGGTGGGGGTGGGGGGGGCTTCCTGCCTTTCCATTTCCAGCCTGGCTCCCTGGGGCGTCTGAACCTGTGTCCCCTGGAGAGACGGGAATGGGCTTTGGGGTCAACCTACTTCCTAGCTGTGTGCCCGGAGCTGGCCGTGTGAGGTCTCTGAGCTTTGCGTGCAAACCTCCCAGGCCGCCCGGAGGGAGTGCGGGCGGAGTGTGTGTCACAGGGGGTCCTTCAGCTTTGGGGAGGAGCACCAGGCGGCAGGGGACGGACAAATCCAAGGAGGCATTTAAGCGTACCGACTCAGGAGCCCCGTGGCCATACGTCAAAGCCCGGGCTCCACCTCCTAGCTGTGTGGCCCTGGATAAGCTGCTCAACCTCTCTGTGCCCGTTTCCTCGTCTGCAACTGGGGTTAAGAATGGCACCTGCCTGGTAGGGTAGTTCATGAGGACCGGGTGAGCCAGTGTCTGTGCAACATGGCCAGCAGCGCCCGGCACAGAGGAAGCAGCCGGTAGACGGTCACGAACGTCACTGTCGTCCGTGGGGGGCAGGTGCCAAGGGCGGCTCTGCCTGGAGACCTCAGGGCTTCGCTCCAGGGTGTTCCTTCGTTTATTCAGTCCGTTGTTCATTCGGTGACCTCTACCGAGCACCTGCTCCACTGTGGACACGGACAGGCGCTGGGGTCCGAGCCGTGACCGCATGCCGAAGGATGCCCGTGGGGCCAGGTGGCTGTAGGAGGACCAGGCAGGAGGCTTTGAAGCAGGCCTTTGTCTCTCCAGCTTTCGGCTCTTCATCCCCCAGCCTCCACCTCGCACCTTCCCTAGCTCCGAGAGTCCCCTGGTCACCTCACCTTCCTCGACCCATCCCTTCGTGTCTTCTCCCTGCCAGTCTTTGTTGAAATTGTCCAGGACAATGCCTCAGTTGGTCAGCCTGGACCAGATGCCCACTTCCGCCTTGAGAGGGTGTGAGCGGAGGTGGGCCGGGTCGGATGACGCAAAGCCTGCCCGCCCCAGAGCTGTTCCCTGAGCGGGGCCTGGGTCCCCTAGCTTCTTGTCCAGGACAGTAAGTAGCCCCAATGTACCGACTGCACCAGGAAGAGGCACTGGTTGGGTTTCCTTTGGCCCCAAGAAGTGGGGTTAAGTAGAAAGTTTCTCCATGGTAGGAAGTACACGGGGACGGATTTTCGGGTGCGAAGGATAGAGAGGAAGGCAGTCTTTCCCTCAGCCCTTTGGGTGGGCCTCACCATCCTTGGAGGCAGCCAGAGGTGGGTGGCGGTGAGGGAAGCAGAATCCCCCGGTGGCCAGTGGCGGCCAGTCCTCAAAAGCCACCCCGTCAGGAGAGGCACTACAGCCCTGTCCCAGTCCTGGGGTTTCTCCCGTATGGCTGTGCCCAGAAGGAGGGATGGTGGGGGGCACACAGGCACTCGGTGTGTCATGTCAGACCACAGCCGGGTCAGCCGGGGACACGGCGGCCACAGTCTCCCCCTGGCCAGCACTCTGCCTCCTCCCTGTGGCCCTCTGCACTCTCCAGCTTGCATCCAGCCACTTGTTCTGAGTGTTGCCTGAAATTCCTTTGGGTCACATGGCCCCTTCCCGGTGACCAGGACTTCATGTCTTCCTGTAGAATAACCTCCCTTCTTAGGGGCTTGCCCCCCGCAACTAGGAAGCACTTTGGGGTCGAGATGCCCCCGCTGGAAGGGGCTCCCCCAGGCGCACGGGCTCAAGGATCCCTGCGCCGGAAGGTCACCGGCTCATCCAAACGCTGGCCTGGAGCCTGACCGGCTGCACCTGTAAAACCCGTCCCGGGACTGAGCTGCCACCTGCCCCGTGGACCGGCCTGGAGGTGATCAATGGGCTCCTGTTGGCACCAGTCTTTATCCCCCACCACGTCTCAGCCTCAGATCTTTCTCCTGCTATCATCTGATTAAGATTTATGGCTTCCTCAGCCTTGTAATACTTGGGTGGACAGCGGCCTAATCAACAGAGCTGTCGTTTACCAAAATGCTGTCAGATTTGATGAACGTCATGGGCTCTTAGCATTAAATTGGTAGTGAAGGGATTGGCCTTTCAGCAATTTACGGTGGGGGTGGGCTTTCCTTCAAGGCCCGGAAAGCAAGTTCATTGCACTTTAAAGCAAAGGCTTAGCTCTCACTCCACTGTCGTATCCGGGTTCCTGTTGTGGGCTAGGCAGCTGCAGACACCTCCAGGAAAGCTCATGAGTCAAAACGTGAAGCCCTTTCCTTTGTTTTCCTGTGTCTGAGTTTTGAAAACCCCTGCAGAGAGGACAATAAATGAAACAGCCCATAAAGCATCGGCTTTTACGGCGACCTTGCACGACACACACTGTCAGAGTGTCGAGCGCTGTTATTTGTAAGAGATCAGGAAAATCCGGGAAGAACATATCAAATAGGGTATATTTCCTCCCCACCCCATACCTGCCTGTCAGTATCTTCGGAGCTCTCCTACCTCTAGAGGGAGCCGTTTGCATACCACACAACCCGAACAACCATACAGGGCAACCCCTAGCCTCCGTCTATCTTTTGCATCGACAGCAGCTTGCACGCGCATCTCTTAGAATGCTTTGCTAAGGGGGCGGCAGATACACACAGATAACTCTGAGCATGGCCTTGGGTTGCGCGTGGCTGAGGGCAAGATCTGCCCTTGGGCGGGCAAACTGGAACATGGGTGTTCGGGTGTCAGGGCTTTAAAATCTCGTCCCGATGCGTGGCTGATACCACCAGGGTCCACCCGGGTCTGGGCGCTGCCAGGAGGCAGGAGAAAGCAGCCACTCACAAACACCCACTCCAGGTAAAGCAACGTGCCAGATGGGGAGCCAGCCAGGCGCTCGGGCATCATGCTCACCAGCACGTTAAGGTGGGCGGCGGGGAGCGGGCGCTGCCCGGGGGCTGGGTTGGAACCCTCCAGCCTCGTGCGCTTATTGGGAGGTGGGCGTCTTGATGTGGGTGAGGCAGCTCCCCCTTCTCCCCCAGTGGTGGCGGAGGTACAGCCCCGGGGCTGTGGTGGGAGAGCAGGCCAGATGGGAGACTATTTATTCCCCTCCGGCACCCACTCGGCATTTAAAACTCTTCTGGGACCACATTAATTTTGTTACGTGTTGCTTCAGAAACGCGTTCTTCTGTTGCATGTTCTGTGTGAACTCCTTGAGACCAGGGCACGGGTTGTTACTTTTTTTTTTTTTTTTTTTTTTTTTTTTTTACTATCTCGACATGCTTCCAGAACCTTGTATGCAGTCCGTGTTCAGTAAGGGCTTGCTGGTTAAGTGCCTTAATGCCTACTGCAAACCCATCTCCCGACCTCTCGGCCAGGCGAGCAGTTGTGACAAGCTCCTGGGAAGGGAGAGGGGCGCTTCTGGGAAAAGGGAGGATGGGAAGGCTGCAGAGGACAGAGGCATGCCGGGGCTCTCCTCCTTGAATGCTGGAGCTCTTTCTCATATTTATACTTCAGATCAGAGCAGCAAAACTGCATTAATGCCAGCTCTCTCACTTGGCAGCGGGAAATCCCAGTTCAGGTATGGCTGGATCCAGGTGCTCAGACAGTGTTGCACGGCCCGTTCTCCATCTCTCAACTCTGCTTTTCCCTATGCTGCTCTGTGTGGCACCAAGGTGGCCACTGTCAGCCTCCACCGTGCATTCTGTCACCTGGTCGCTCTGGGCCAGCAGGATCTAATGCTCAGATCGCCCGGGCCTGTCCTATGCTCCAGCCCCCCGGGTACTCAGTTCCACATGAACACTTGGATTGGGGGTGGGGAGGGGGAGGATCTCCCAAAAGAAAATCAGGGTGCCTTTGCCAGAAGACAGGGGGGCGTGTGCAGGACAGACGGAAGCACCCGCCGCAAGACTTCACAGACCTCACGCTGCTCAGACTGGAGTGTGTGTGCGAGCCACCTGGGCTCTTGTGAAAATGCAGATTCCGATTCGCAGCTCTGGGATGGGGCTTGAAATTCTGCATTTCTCACAAATCCCCAGGAGAAGCCAATACTGCTGGTGCCTGGACCTTCCACGAGTAAGGTCCTCGTCTGAGTCCTCCCTTTCTGGATAAAGGAGCAGAAGCCTGTAGAGGGGCCAGGCTGTGTGCCCCATGCCTAGTGCTCCTCCCTCCCAGCCCCTTCCCCTTCTCCCTCCTCCCTCCTCTTCTCCCTTCCCCACCGGATCCTTCCTTCCTGCCT